TGATATGTATGATATGTTAGTATGTTCATACATTGTTATCTAAATTTTTCTACATACTTTTGTATGCTTATTTGTATTGCTCTCAATGACGTTTGAAAAGGAAAGTTCGATCAACTTTTTATTCTTGTTTAATTTTTTTTGTTTTTTTTTCTTTGTTTTATGCAAAGATAATAAGGTATTGGAAAAAAAAAATAAAATTTAGAAACGTGCAGTTTGATGAAAGCTTTTTTTTTAAGTATTTTTTATTGCTATTCTTATTTTATCATAGTTATAAAAAAAAAAAATTGCGATTAAAAAAAAGCACATAACAATTGAGAAAATATTTGTCAAAAAAAAAAAATAAAAAAGAAGAATAAAATTTCCCGTTTTATAATTTTAAACAAACACACATACCAACAACAAAGTTAACAAACAAAATATAAAAACAAATTTTTTTTTTATCTATAAGCTTTTCTGCTAATGATGACTCAATTAAAACGGCCAAAAAATTATTAAAACTGTCTAGTCGCTACGATTAATTTCTGTTTGCTTTTTTAATATTATGCCGTTGTTTTTATTTTTAATAATTTTTTTTTTCTTCTGTTTGTTAATATTTTTAAATTTTAATTGCATATTTTAAAAATAATTTTCCTTCATATTATTGAAATATTTAAAACGCAATAAAATATGAAAGATATGTAATTCACCTTTAAATATAAGGTCTAATCAAAAATGTAAAATGCGCATTGAATTCTTTTGCATCTTAATCGAAATTGCAGTTAATAATATTGTCAGTAGCTGATGTCTACATTTGTAGTGCAACCGATATTGCAAAAAAAACAAATGTCACGTATAATTAATAATGCCAATTGCCTGCCGTGTTTTAAATTTTTTTGGCATTTTTGCAGTGTTGCATGATACGATATACTGCTGATTTTGTTTTTTTAAATTGAAATTTTTCAAAATAATTTATTGCTAATGTAGTTGTCAATTTGTTGAATTAAAAATTATATTAAAATTTTTAATTGCGGGTTAATGATCGTCAGATGCACTTTTTGTGGACTAGCATTTGAGATTATCGATTAACACCTAATAAATCCGATTTGTTGCAATTTTTCCAAACATTATTATCGTGAATCGGTTGCACACCGATTATCGATTACAGCACAGTCGTCGTCAAACTTTTGTCGGTTATGGGCAAATACTTATGTACTATGTGAGTATAAGTATGGGTCACTCGAGTTTCTTACATTACCTACTTACAAGAAAAATGACATTTTCAACAGGCTTTATTGATTGTTTTGTTGTTGACAAATAATAAATTTGTATTGAATTTTATGTTCCTATATCTATGATTGGTTGCACTTTACCGACGGTGGGTTCAGTACATTATCGATTCAAAAAAAAAAAAAAAATTATTAAAAATTTTTTTTAAAAAACTTTCGTAAGAAATTGTGTTACTCTAATTTTAATTATGAGAACGTATGTAGATATTTTAGGTTTTTTTTTGGAGACAAATTAATTGCTCTACATAGTTTGTGAATTACAAGTGGGTTAATGACTGATAAACTTAACTGATGTCATAAATTTTAAAAAACTGTATACGAACCTTTTTTTTTGCCTCTTCGACACAACAAAATATTTTCTAATTACTCGGTTAATGTTTCATATCTATGTACATCTTGATATGCATGTGATAATAAATGGCACTGCTTGTAAAAATAAAAAAAATAATAAATAAAAAAATGTTTGGAATTTTAACAGGAAAATATTTATGCCAGAAATTGTTAAATTTTCTTTATTGTCATACTATTTTCATTTTATTTCTTATCAATACCATTTCTTGAACTAATTCTTGAAAATTTTGGTTTGACATCAAAATGCGGCATCGCATAGAAAACATAAAAAGAATTGAAGTATTTTCAAAATTTCATAAGTGAGATGAAGTTTATTATTTCGAGAATTGTATACTCTCATGATTTTCAATTAAAAATTAATTGTGAAATTAATAGAGAAAATAATTCAAAATATAATTTAAATGTTATGGCTTGTCAACATGTCAACATCATCATAAAATTATCTTATTTATGGACTTTTATACTTAGTTTCTACATGTCTAATATTATTTCTTATTTATAGCAATTCCGTTTATGATTTTATTACGGAACCGTAATTAACATACATACATATATGATTTCTAACCACAATTGTATGATTCTTTACCAATTGCTTTTATTAAAGGCCGATTCTCGAATAAAAAATTAAGTTTCATTATTTATTAAAATAAAGTTTATTTTCACTTATGATGTTGGTGTACTTTTTATGCTGAAATTGTTTATTTTTAATTGTTGATTTGATGATTTTATTCTTAAAATTTTTAAGTTCTACGCTGAGTTAATAAAAAAAAATACTAATTATTCTTATTTTTATTATAAATTTTTATATAAATATTTAAAAATATGAATCATTTGTTTAGAATTCTAAATTATTTGTCATTTAAATTTGGAACACTTATTCTTGATATTCCTTAAATTGAAGATTTAAATATAAACTTAAATACGTTATGTGTTAATATTTACAGTGGAGTGTTGCTTAATGAACTATGCTTAAATGTTATTATATATTATATGAGGCCCTTAGTGCATTATTGGCCTATCCAATATTTTTGCAAAAATGAGTTGTTATATTCAATAAAGCTGTAGTAAGGGCCTAAAACTTCTATCTATAATTCGATCTACTCGAAATGTCATTTTTACAAGTAGTCCACTAATTCGCTGAGCGCTTCATATGTAATCTAATTTTTGCTACGATATTTTCTCATGAAATATTTTACCTATTTTGTAATACATATAAGTAAATTTTAAACTAAAATAAATGGCCGCTTTGAATATTTGAAAACTGTAGTTATGTAGTTTGAAAACTAAGCTAACCATTCTTGTAATACAAAACAATTACAAGTAAATATAAATTTAACTCAAATGTAAAAGTATTATAACACTCTTAAGTATTTTATTTATTTTTCTTTGTTTTTCAAGTAAGTAATTATCGCAAAATTTTCAAAAACACTAAATCTATTGATTAATTATTTAAGTATATTTTAAAATATTTGATTTTGTATAAGTATAAGTAAATATATCAGTAATCAATTAATATTTTGTACAAGTAAGTTAATAGCAATAAAAATGAAAAAAATTGCTCAAAATAATAATCAATTTTGCATCTTTGCATTTTAGTTATTATGTAGCAATAGCTTCTCATTTTCATTGAACTAAAAAGAAGTATGGCGTTGTTGTTCAATTAGATTTGCTTCAACTGTTCTTGATTTTGTTCTCAAATTTTTAATACCATTTTTTTTTAACAAAAATCTTAGATTTAATTATCGTAAAATTTTCTAATCTGTAAACAAAATATAAATAAAATCAATATTATTGTTTACAGGAATTTAAAAATTTTTTGAAGAATTAATAAATATTTTGCTGATATTATTTTATATAACAATTTTTTAAACCCCTTCTCATTTATTTCCTAGTATTAAACTCTGAATTTAACCCAAATGATTTCTGCATTATATATTTACGTATGTATAATATGGGCATTTTCGTTTGCATCTTAAACTTTTAGAAGAGAATTGATATTGTTTACTCAATTATACCACACCAATAGTTTATTGAATTTTTGACATAAACATTAGATCGTACATTATTAAAATTCAAATTTAGTTTATTCAAAACTTTCGTATTAAAAGCAAACGTAATTTCTTAAGTTTATTGAGGAATTGCAAAATATTTTCAATAATTTACAAAATTATTTTATTAATTAAATTAGTTTTGATAATTTAAATATTTTCTTTAAATAAGAATTATTTTTCGTTATTAATGAAAATTCAAATATAGAATTTTTTTTTTAAATAAAATATGAATTCCGAAAAGAATGATTTTGATGATAATGCAAATGTTTATATAATTTATGAAATTTATAAAAATGCAAATGCATTAAGAATGTTCGAAATTGAATTTGAAAATGCTTTAAGTATTAATTTCGATTATATAATCATAGAACCACCATTTTTAAAGGATGTAACAAAACAATGGATAATGATTAAAAATTATTTATATAAAATAATTCTTTTGAGTGGATTTTCTTCAATTATATTGAATAAAATATTGAAAAATAAATCAATATATACAATAATTATGGAATCAATTACAATTTTTTGTACATCATTATATGTTTTTTCTCGAATATATCAGATCCATGTTCTAACTATCAAATTGAAAATAATTTAAAAAATATAGAAAAAATACAAAATTTATATGAATTTTCTTCATGTTCTTTAATTTTAAAATTGAAGAAGAAAAGAATAAAATATTTTGAAGAAAGTACAATGTTTATGACAGTATCATTTTGTTTATGCGAAATTATTAAAATATTTTACAAAAATTAATTAAACACGTATTAAAAACTTCCATACCTCGTCTTGAGGCGTCTTCTTCTCATACCTGTACATTTTAAATCAAATGACCTACATATATAAATGAGCTGCGCGCCTACGTAAGGTATTGGAGTTTTTGATTTTAACAGCGAGTAAGTACATTTTTTTCCCTTTTTAATAATTTTGTTTTTAATGTCGAATTTATCTGTTTATATCCAATTCGCATATGAGAAAAGTGAACTAAAAATTTGATAATATAAATTTCTTTTAAAAAAATAACTTGATTTTTAATTATATTGGAATTATAATAGTGATGCCAACAGTCCAAACAAATCTGCATTATGTTCTTTACTGGAATAACTTCTTATGTATGAGTTAATATGTTAATATACCAATATCTGTATAATTTTGACTGTCATGCTACTAGTAATGACAATATAATATATTGAGACAGTGTAAGCTAATACAGTTTTTAATTCTAATAAATAATTCTAAGTAAAATATATTATTAAATGATATAAATAAAATATTTTCATAATAATTAAATATATTTCTCTAATTTCTTGTTATTTTTCTCTTCCATTTTCAGATATGTGCTAAAAAGAAAATCTTAAATGCATTAAAGAATCAACCAAAGGACTTATTTATATATAAAAAATATATTATAGCAATTTAAATTTATATAATACAAAATATTTAAATAATAGAAAAAAAAAATAAAATTAAAAAACTAGTTGTATTTAATAAAGATATTTTTTCTATATTTGAATACAAAAAATATTCAAAAAACAAAAAAAAACAAAGAAGAAGAAAAGATTAATTTTAAAAGCAAAAAAAAGAAAATCAAAGCCATTATAAAATAAAAACACTTTTTATTAATATAATCAATATTTTATGAAAATAAGGGATAGAGATAAAAAAAAATAAAAATAAAGATTATATATACATAATAATTATTGAGAGCCTTAGAAAAACTTATTAAATTGCACTGTGCGTATCCGCCTTAAATGTAAAAAGAAAAACAATATAGAAAGAGAAAAAAAATTTGAATTCATTTTTTAAAAAAAAAAAAAGGAAAACCCAAGCTTAAAATTTTATATTTTCCCGTTTTGTTTTTAACTTTAAAATAAAAATTATAACAATTTTTTTTCTTTCAAATCATCTTAATTTAAATATAAATATCATTTTACAAAAATTTAATAAAACAAATAATATAATAAAAATAAAAAAAATCTAAACATATGATAAAAAAAACACATACATATAAATCAATAAAACAATATCGAAATACAAAAGGATATCATCAATATCATTAAAAATAAAAAAATATTCAAATAAATTCAATTTAAAAGAGATATCATTAAAAATAAAAGGATTGCATATCACGCGGCAAAATAATTTAAACAAGATATCAAAAATTTCAAAAATTAACCATAAAAAACAAAAATTACTTAAACGTCAATTCGAACGATCGTATTTTGTAAAATAAAAATACAATTTAAAAAGTGTGGAAACAACTTGTTGAAATTAATTGACAAGAGAACTAAAATACAAAAACCAAAAGAAAAAAAAAACAAAAGTATCATATTTTTTGTAACCTCAAAAAGGGAGAATTATGAGAGAAAGAAAAATTGTTCACACATAAAAAGAAAAAAAAAAAATTTTTTTAACCACGAAATTTTTTTTCTCAGAGAAAAATTTGTTTTGTTTTGAACTTTTTCCTCGTTATTATCAAAACGACACAAGTGTTGCCAAAATAAGAAAATTTTAAATTTTCGAAAAAACTTTACTTTCTCATTTTTCTTATTTTCAAATATTCATTAAATTATTTCCATTTTGTTTTCAAAAAAAAATTTTTTTAAATTAAATAAATAAATAGAAAACAGAACACAAAATAAAATATTTAAATAAATAAATAAAAAAAAGGAACATTTAAAAGAAAAGGAGTAAATTTATTTTTAGATGCAATATTGTAACAATAGTAGTAACATTACTGGAATGGCTACTTTGTTACAACAAAAAAATAATTGTATGAAAACATTAATTGTTAATAATAGTGCTGTTAGTGTAGTTAATAATAATAATAACAATAATAATAATAATAACAATAATAATAATAATATAAATAATAATAATATTAATGGGACAAATAGTGCCAATATAAATTCTACGTTAATAACAACAACAAATAATATTAATGGCGGTAATAATAATAGTGGAGGTATATTAATTGGTAATACATTTTTATTAACTGGTGGACCACAACAATTACATCAATCATTAAGTAATGGTGCAATTATACAACAATTTCAACAACAACAACATAATCTTATTACATCACCAGTCACTTTACACCATTTTAATCATCATAATTCAGGTATTATTACAACATCATCAGCAGCAACAGCTGGAAATAGATTATTATTACCACATGAAATGGTACATAATTCATCCATACCAACAACAATTATTAATACAACAAATAATATGACTAGTGGTAATAGTCATCAATTAATATTACATCAGCCACATCAACATCATCAATTGTCTGGTTTAATGTCAACAACATCAATAGCATCAACGACAACAAATGATGTATCATCATCATCATTACCTGCAGCAATATCAACATTAGTAACAACATCATTGCCAGCACAATTTGATAATAATTATAATAATTTTTCCAATACTAATACAAATAATAACAATAATAATAATAATAATAGCAATAATAACAATAATCAACAACAACAACAAAATCAACATCATCATCATCAAAGGAGCCATAATACAATTAATAGTCAATATTCTTCTACAACTATAGCTACAACTGCAACAACAAATCCTAGCACTAGATATTTTTCTCAATTTAGTAATAATACTAATAATAATAATAACAATAATAGTAATTTAAATGGTAGTAATAATAATCATAGTTTAATAACCGGTATTAGTAATTTAAATAATTCCTTAACTAATCATCGACCTCATCAACAACAACAACAACAACAACTTCATCATCATCACCCTCATCAACAACAATCACAGCCGCAGCAAGCACTTAATAATTCTACAATCATTAATTCATCACCTTCTAATAATGTAATTAGAACTGGCACAACTGGTACCCTATATAAATTACAACAACATCAACAACAACATTCACATCATCAACAAAATTTACCACCGAATTCATTAGCACTTCAAACAATTAATTCAATTAATAATCACTATAATAACAATAACAATATTAATAATAATAACAATAATAGTAGTAATAACAATAATAATAATAATAATAATAATAATAATAATAATAATAATAATAATAATAATAATAATAATAATAATAATAATAATATTAATAATAATAATATAATTGGAGATATAAACAATAAACCAAAGCAAAACGGTGAAAATAATTGTAGTACATCATCGACATCATCTTTATCATCAACATCGTCTACTATTGGAACAAATAATGTAAATGGTAATAATGTTAAGTTAAATGAAAATAATGCAAATGGTGCTGTTAATAGTAATAATACAGGATTAAATCAAATTAATGAAAATATGATAGATAATGATAATAATAGAAATAACAGTGCTAATGTTGATAGTGCTAATGATGGTGGTATTATAAATTCTACAACAACAGAAACCACAAATATAGAGGAACAAGAGCCAGAACCAGAAATTGATATAGTTATAAATAATGTAGTTTGTTCATTTAGTGTTAGATGTCATTTAAATTTACGCGATATTGCGTTAAATGGTTTCAATGTTGAATTTCGTCGTGAAAATGGTATGGTTACTATGAAATTACGACGTCCATATACAACTGCCTCAATATGGTCATCAGGGCGTATAACTTGTACTGGTGCTACATCAGAAGATCAGGTAAATATGTTAATATAAAATTAAATAATTTTAATTGACTGATTTAAATTAATAATTTCATACGTAAGAAAGTTTTTAAAAATTTTTACGTTTTCAAGCAAGGTAAGGCAAGACATGATCAGATTGTAATAAAATAAATTAAATATGATCGGTGAAAAGTGTTATGAACTATATTGTAAGCAATTTAATTTTAAATTGTGATAAGTTACAAAAAAATATTAAAATTATTTAATTGCAATAATTTAATATTTTATAAAAACCAGGTCAACTATAGTTCAAAACTTTATACTCTCCTAAATTCCATGTTAAATGTATGTTGTACAAAATGAGTATGAATGTAGGAATGTACAAATATTCGCTTTATAAAATGTACAAATATTTCATTTTACATTTTATGTTTTTAGCATTTATTAGTTTTACTTTGTCCGTTCGTCCGACTGTCAGTGAACATTTTTATTTATCTCCCTCTAAAATTTATAGCCCCTAAAAGTCTTAAAAATTCCTTCTACAGACTATTTATTATAACGAAACCACAACCATTTTTTAAATTCAGCAACGCAGAAAGATAAAGACAGTGTGTCGGTAGAACACGGCAGAATTGAGCGTTTAAAAGAAAAAGTGGCTGTCAAAATTAACCGTTATCCAAAACTGTTTTTTTTTTTTTTCAAATTTTTGATTTCATTTTCTAGACGGGAACTTATAGGAGTCTGAAACTTCAGCAGATTTTAAGCGGCACAAATAATTTATTATTTGTTATTTCGTTTTAAGAAAATTTCTTAAACTTCCCAAATTTTTCATAAAATTTCTGTTTTTTCTATTAAAGCGAAATTATAACGGTAAACGTCATGTTGTTGTTGTTTGTATACTTTGGTAAAAAAAATTTTTCAGATGAAAAGTGCTTCTTTACAAACCATTGGTTTGAACTAACTTTATTTTTAATTATTTCTCATTTTTCTTTCATTGTCTCATATGTATGTATGTACTTATGAATTAGTCCAATTTGCAATTTTCCTGTTTTACTTATATAAAATATGAAAACTAAAATTGAGTTTAATAAAAAAACATAATTGAAATTTCAAAAAATAAATTTAAGTGATCTTTTAAGCAAAAACCATCATTCGGTAATAAATTCTTAAAGGCATAAATTTCTCTCATACTTATTCTTTATTTTCAATTATTTTATGAAGTTATGATTTATTTAAAATGGCATTTTTTTTTACATTTTATTAAAATTTATAGGAATTAAAGTCAATTTAATGAGCAAGTGAAAAATAATTTAATAATATATTTATACTTAATTTACAGGCTAAAATTGCTGCGCGCCGATATGCTCGTTGCCTTCAAAAATTAGGTTTTAATGTTCGCTTTCATAATTTTCGTGTTGTTAATGTATTGGGTACATGCAGTATGCCATGGGCAATAAAAATTGTTAATTTTTCTGAAAAATATAAAAAGGATGCTAGCTATGAACCAGAACTACATCCCGGTGTTACATATAAATTAAGGTATCCAAAGGCAACATTAAAAATATTTTCAACTGGAAGTATTACAGTTACTGGTAAGTTATTAAATCACATTGTAATTTTATTGTTGAATTATTAGAAATATATTCGGCATGTATTCTCTAGTTCAACATTTAGTATTTCATAAAATATTTGACAAATTTTAAATATTCTAAATCAACTGTAACACATAAATCACCGAATTTCGAAAGAAATAAAAAAAAATTTGTTTTTCTGTGTCTTAAAATAATTTTAAATTACATTTTTCATTTTATTTTTTTTAGCTGCTAGTGTTGCACATGTACAAACTGCTATTGAACATATATTTCCATTGGTATATGAATTCCGTAAAAAACGCACTCCACAAGATTTAGAATTATTACGTTCCAAACAAGAAGCAGCTTTAGCACGTCAACAACAATCTATGGGAACAACATTTGTTGAAGAAGATGAAGAAGATGAATTTTTACATTCTCATACATTAAAATCAAGCAGTAGTAGCAATAATCATGGCAGTAATCGTGGTATTAATAGTGTTGGTGGTAGTAAAAGTGGAAGTAGTGGAATTGGTAATATTAATCGTGGTAAAAAACGTAAATTTCCAGCATATATGTCAGGTGATGGTGGTGATATTAATGATAATGAAAATGATAACGATGACGACATTATAACAAGAAGACGTATTGGTGAAAGTGGTGGTGGTACGGGTAGTAATCGTATTACTGATGTTGAAGATAATATTTGTGATGGTATAATTATTAGTGGAGATGATGAAGATGAACATCAATTATTACGAGATAATTATGAAATGAAACATCATCATCATGATGATTTTGATGATATTGACGATATAATTGAAGAAGATGACGATGATATTTAAATTAATTTTTTTTTCAAAATTTAAAAGAAGAAAACTGAAGAATAATCTAATTAATAAATAAATAAAAAAAATCAAAGCGTTCCTATTTTTTTGGATTGTTTGGTTTGAAATTTAATAAAAAAAAAAAATGAAGAAACTTAAAAAAAAAATTAAATGAAAAACTATTTTTTAATTAAAAATTTTTTGTTACAATTTATTATTACTATTATTTTCTTTTAATTAATTACGTGTGTGATCCTATATTAAATAAAAATTAAAAAAATAAAAATATTATTATTAAAAATACTATTATTCAAAAAGAAGAATTGAATCAAGAAAACGTGTTAATAAATGATTTCTTATCTTCGATAAATTCAAAAAGTATGTATATGTATAAATGCATATTTATATTAATAAATTTAATAAATATTATAATTTATATATATATATATATATATTATTAATTATAATTATTAGAAATAATAAAAATAAAAATCTGAGTTTTTAAGAGAACGAATTATTAAAATAAAATTAATTTAAACAAATTATTTTATACAAAATTAAAAATATTATTAATGCGAAAAAAAAATTCTGTGAAAATATTTAAAGAAAAAGCAAAAAAAAAGCAAAGCAAAAACAAAATTTATAAATTAAATTTAAATTTAAAAAATTAAAATAATTTAACAAACAGAAGAACAAAATTATTAGATTTAGTAAAAACAAATAACTCAAAATTAGTAGGAAAAAAATTAAAAATTGCAAAAAAAAAAAAAAAACACATACTTTATATTAAAATATTAAAATTATGTGCTTATGAAATTAAAAAATTAATTTATATAGCAAAAAAAATATAAGAGAGAGAACAAAAATATATTAAATGAAAATTAAAATTAATTTTTTTTTTATTGTTTATAAAAGTACACGAAAATTCAATTAAAAATAATATTTGAAAAAATAAATTAAAGAAGAAAAAAAAAATTAAAATTTAAAATAGAAATTTAAAAAAAAAAAATATTTGTTGACAAGGTGACCAAAATTAAATTCTTTCAAAAAAAATTTACCTGATTTATTATCAACTAAAAAATTATTAGAACACAAAATATGTATGTATATAAATATAAATTTATCTATATATATGTATATTATATATAATTATTAATTACACACCATTATACCAAAATTATTACTCCGTATTTTTCAAAATTGATATAAAACAAAAAAAAAAAAAAGATTTATTAAAAAAATTGAAAAAAAAAAAATTCATTCAATGCAAGAAATTAAAATTTAAAAAAAAAAGAAAGAAAATAAGAATATTTTTGTTTTTTCTTCATATTTTGTTATTTCAATTATAAATTTGTTCAGTTTTTAAATCAAATCTACCACCAAACACACCTACATACCATCACCGCCGCTCCCCCGTCCGCCCCACCACCTTCAATTATTGTATTCAAAAAAAATTTTTTCATCTGCGATTTTATTTTATTCGTTCGTGTTAATTTTTTTCTTTTTTTTTTTTTTTGTATATAAAAAATATTTTCAATATTGTTATTGAAATGTGAAGATGACTATCATTCCGAAAACGAAAAAAAAAAAATTCCCGAGTGTAAGTATTATTGAAATTTCTAGCTTCTTTGTTTTTTTTCTTCTTATTATAGTCTTTAAAACAATTTACTCTGTGCCTAATACCTTAGATAACTTTGCAAAATATTAGTTCATATTTAACCAAAATTTTTATATAATCAATATTCCTCTGTCTTCAGGATTCTTATTCTATCCAAATGCTTTGTAATTTCTTAATAAATTTAATTTTCTACAAAATCAATTATTTTCCAAATTAATTTGGAAATTTTTATTAAATAAAAATCATTCGCTATAATTTTGTCCAACAAGAATTTTTACTTTGAATTTCTATTTTTATAATTTTATTGTCAAGTTTCCAGTATTATATAATTTTCATTCATCTATTTTTATTAATTTTTAAGTTAAATTAAAAATTTTAAATATTTTTCTCATATAATTATAATTATGTTGCAATATATATATTACATACATATAATAACAATGTATGCATTGTGAAAGACTAATTAGAAAACTAGAATTTTTTCATCTTAAAATTTTATATAATTTCATGTTTTCGGTATAATGTTTTCCGGTAATAGCGCATATTTAAAAGAAAACAAAATCTTAAATTTGATGTAAAATATAAAATTAAAAAAAAATTAGTATTATAATTGTTGTGAGGAAATTGCGGTTTTGAAATTCAAAAGGACGATTAGAAAAAAAAAATCTAGAAAAAATTTCTTGGTACATACTTAATTTTTTTCAAGCTGTTAGAAATTTTTGTTATAAAATTTATAAGAAATTTTTTTTTTTCAGTTTTTGTTATCACAATATAACTAGAGCTTTTATTTTTAAAAAAAAAACCTAGTAAGACAAGTACTCTTGAAAATTTCTTTGCAAAACTCTCTTTGTCTTTTATGCATTTCTATTGCTTCAAATAATTTTTAAAAATTTTAGTTCTAAAAAAAATTAATAGTGAGAAAATCAAGTGCTACATACTGTATTTAAATTTCAAATTGATAGAAAATAATTTTGAAATAGAAATTTTGAAGAATTTTAAAATTTGGTTTACTATAAATTTAATTTTTTTTGTTATACCCTAAGTTCTTATAAATAATTGTATTATTAGTCCTATTACTAATGTATTATTTTAGTAAACTTATAGTTTTTTTTTAATTTTTGTAAAAATTCTAATTTTATTTTTTATTTTTCTTGTTTTTTTTTTTATTTCAGATGAAACACACTTTTCTTTTCAATTTCCTTGCAACATACATATATATAATTAATAATGTAAATAATGGAAAATAGCAAATATAATTACAATAAAAATGTAGCTATCATCAAAACCATCATCAGAATGAACTGATTTTTATTTGATTTTTTTCGAAATATCAGATAAAATTTGTCAAACATCATCATCCTATTTTATGAAAGAACTTCAATGAAAATTTAAAAAAAAAAAGTTAAACCACCGTCTTTACAGGAATAATAAACAACGAGTCAATGGAAATAGGCGTACCGTATATAAAATTTAATAAATGCAGTTAAAATCACAAAACTTACATAATTTTTAATAATAAAATTTGATCACATTAAGTTTAATTTAAATTTTATTATGTTTTTAAATTTTCAATTAAATTTCTTATTATATTTATTATTAAATAACATGTATTGTATTTTGCAAATAAAATTTAATATTTTTTAATTTTTATAAGAATAGCAATTAAACAAAAACAAAAAAAAAATAATGATTTAAAAAATCTCAATAATTTCTAGTTAAATGTTTTCCAATTAATTTAAAAACTGCAATAATAATAATAATGTCAGATGCAATTAAATAAATAAAAAAAAAATATATTCTAGAATTAATATATTTTTGTTTTGATTGTAATACAAAATAATCTTATAACATGAAATTTTAAAAATTTATTAACTTGTTTCCCTTTTTTTTTCTTTTACTGTACCCTACAGTCATAAAATAAAATTATAATGTTTTATTATATAAAATTATTTATATTAAAAATACAAAATAATAAAGGACTATTAATTATTAGAAATTACTAAAAAAAAATAAATAAAATTATTAGAATCTAGAAATGGGAATAATTATTATTTAAAAAATATATTTCATACATGTTAATTAAAATAAAATGAATAATATAGTTGGTCACAAAATTAAGAAGATTTAAAAAAAAAATATTATTAAATGAAATAATAATAATTATTATTATACAGAAACATTAGAATTTCAATTTTCCATATAATTATAAAAAATTTATTTTGTAAATACTAATTTTTTTTAATCAAAAGCTCGTATCAAAAATTAAAATTTATAATATCATTCAACTAATTAACAATCTTGTAAAATGTTAATATCAAAATTTTGTTGTAAAATATAATAATGTATAATTTTTTTTTTTTATAAATAAAAAATATAAATATTACCCAAATATAATATAAATTTGTCCAAAATATAAATATTATTTATAAATAATATGATACTATGTTATAAGATTTTCCTATTTTGTTAGCTTGAATCATTTTCTTTTTTTTCTGAATTTTAAATAATTTTTTTTTTATTAAAATTATACAGTTAATGTGTTGATGATTGCAGAATTCATCTAAACAAATTATCTATATTTTCTCAATATAACTACAATTCAAACCTAGTGCAGGTTTAAGAGGTATAGCATTTCCAGAATTCGATCCTTAAATAAATCTCTAAATTATGAATACTATAATTGCTACTAAAACAATATGAGCACATAATTTTTGCAATAAAAATTTGAGAAAATATAAAATAAACTAAAACTATTTTAGAAAAATTCATTTAATTAGGATTTATCTCACATGAAAAAAAAATATGTAACCTTATATAATAGAAATAGTAATTATAACTAATTTCAAAATTTTCAATTTTGTTATTTAAACAAAAATTTTCATTTTCTGCCTGAATTTATATATTTAGATATGATTTAAATTCGGAAACTTATATGAAATCGCAGTTTCATCCAAAACTAAATTTAATTAGTTTTAATATTTTTTATTAAATTACTAGAGTTACAAATGCAATTGAAAATTATATATGAAGTGATTCAAAACCAAAAATTAAATAAATTTTTGGTTTTGAAAGCAAATTTTTAAAAAGTTCTCAATTGCAAATTTAGAAAGCTATACATTCTTAATAAATATTTAAATAACTTTGCTTAATTTTTTGTTTAATAAATTGCTATAAAAATTAAAAATCTTTACCTTTATCCATAAAATTCAGTTGTTTATTAATTTTAACTAAGTATTTAAAAATAAAAGTCCAATAATTTGTTTTTATAGCTATTTATATTCACGCCATTTATTTCAATTTCGCACATATGTTATTTAATAAAAATTATTATAAAAGAATATTTTAATTTAAATACAAAAATATTGGTTACATATAAAATAAGGAAATATTTTTATTACTGCTAGGTTTTTGTAATTAACTTGAAAAAAACAATGTCATATTAAAACTAAAATATCACTAGCTAAATTTGTAAAATATTCAAATACATTTTACATATTCTACTTCTACAGT